GTAGGGTGGATGTCGTCAAGCCTTTAGAGTGATGTAACGAAAATGCATTGACGTGGCTGTGTACGTACAGGGCGAACAAGGGTTAGTAGTGCAACGCAGGCCTTGATAAAATGTGAGGAGACAAAAGGCTGCCGGAACTAAGAGGCGCGCAATTTCGTGGTCATTGATCCTACTACTGAAGTCGTCCCGTACGAAGATGTGTCGAGAAACAAACATACTTGAGTGCATCGTTTCAGCTGTCATGTATGCTCTTAAGTAAAACGCATAGTATACATACTTTCCGTGTCTTCTGTATATATCTATATATGTATATTTATATACTTTTATATATAGCTTGTATATCATGTATAGAGAGCCATAGGCTTCTTTATCTTCTGTACAACTATGCCTACCTCATAAATACTGTATATAATAAGACAACGACATATACTTGAGCTTCGTCATGGTTGTATGGCTTTGTGTGTATTCCTCCTCTTATATTCACCGAGAGTTCGTCGCTGCACATTTTTTTTTTCCTTTGGCAGTTATAGCTCGTTGAAAATAGGAAGAGGAAAATAGAACTGAAGAAAACTGCAAAGGTTCGTAACATTTCACACGAGATACCGCGTCACCGAAGGCAGCAGAGGTTTTTTTTCTTTCCTTGGCGAGGTCTTACGGTAGAGCCGTTTGCTGTGTTCGCGTGACTAAAGTTTTTTATTTCGCTACTGAACTTCCGAAGCCCGTGACTTAATACTTAGTGAAACTCTTGTTATGGATGACTGCCAGTTGGGCGTGTTGGTAAAGGTTCATAATAAAACAAGTGCTAAAAATTACACACACTCAGTACACAGACAAGCGCTTTGTGGGACTCGTTACTACATACCAGCTCATTTTTGTTGTATCTTTCATAGGTCTGCAAAGAGGACTATTGAGGGCATGACAGAAGCAAACCTTTCAGAATAGTTGTCTGCTTCTAACCACAGATAAGCAGCCTAACTCTAAATAGCTCTGCATTGTTAAACTATTCTTTAAACAGTGATTTTATTTGCTCTTTTTTGTGCTCTGAAAATTTTTTGTTAACTCTATTCATGGCACAACCTCTAAGTACCCTTGTGGATATTTATCAGCTAAATTTTACAGGCTTTCAAAAAGTACTTTACTCACAACTGAAATGAATACAGCTAGAGGTACTGGTAGAATTTGTGTCTCAAGTCTCTTATCTGTCCCTGCCTTGCACGCTTTTAGTACTGCAATGCCTTATCAATACACCCATACAGTAACCTAGGTGATTGTACTACATACTTCACCCAGTTACCGGATACGTACCGGAAAGTTTGGGATTCCAGTCTTTGGTTTTAAGCCAATGTTATAGGTAAAAACGAAAATCAGCTTAATCATAGAACACTTGGTCTGCATATCCCAGCCCGAGGGAGCTTAACACACCCAGAATGTCATGGTTAATAGAGCCGCGCAATGGGCACGAAATAATGCGGACGCAGACACGAGCAAGCGGCCCAGCCATAGTCAAGAACAGGGCTCGTTCACCAAGAAGAAAAATATAATGCTGCTGTTGTATCTGTGCTGTTTCCAACACGCTTTCGAGTCCAAACCACATTGCTTCTCCACACTAATCGGGCTCGGCAGTACGAACTCGTGCATTCCACCGAAAGGCCAACATGTGGCCACGAACATATATCTCTCTCTCTCTCTTTCTCTCTCTCACTACAGAAGCACACTGTCTGAACGCACACAAGTCTGTCGGCGTCCTTTTGAGCAACTTTGCACACACTTCCGGTGCTGAAGCGGCGCACCCTTGAACTTCCCACTGAATCCAGTTATAGAAGAAAAATAGCATGGCCGTCTCTTCCAGTGGTGTCTTCAACTTGTTCCAGCGTCGAGCAGTTGTAAAGATGTTGACACGCAAAAAAGGTAACCCTCGGAAAAAATCTCGTACAATGTACCAAAGCCCGATGTTGTGGAGAGGATAAGCGAAAAAAACTAAAATTCGTACGCTCATGCAACAATGAACAACTAGTGGAACTGTCTAACATGAACAGGACTCAAACAGTAATTATAATCAGAAAAAGATATTTGCATCCAGAAGGTTTAAATGGCAGTTTATGCGATCACTGAACGACTTTGAAAAACGCTAATAGCGAACGTTTTCCTGAAAAGAGCTGATCGGCGAACTTTTCATTTACGCTGCAACCCAGCTTTAAAGAAGTAGTAGAATTCTGAAACTCTGTCCTAGCATGTGAATGTATTAAAAGTATCAGTGCTCTTGGTTTCATTACTTCTAATAAGAGAAAGTGTACAATAGGATTGTACTAACTGCAGATTAATACTGTCTCAATCATACTCGTACTCTCTAAAAAAAGAAACTGTGCACGTAACTCAAGTTCTAAAGAAGCCGTGGTAAAACTATTCAGCATAACTACTACTTAATTAGCTTAAAGTGTGGACGTAATGTACCTAGCATCAGATGTGCCTGCTTTTGCAACAGCTCTACCTCCTGCAAATAGTTGCACGTATCAGCAAGTCAGGGCAGTTTCATTGCACTTTGAGGCAGTGTTTGCACGAAAGTACATTGCAAAAGTAATGCAATCAAGACCACGTCCTAGTTGGATTAAGTATTTCTAGCAAAATTACGGTGCTGTACTTAGACAATTGCGTTAAGTTGAAGACTACCTGACGGCAAGTACTTCATCAGCATTAGCTGTACGATCAGAACCTTCCAAAAATAGTTTTTACATAGTAGAGAGGAATTTTCACCTAAGTGTCATGAATGACACTTCCAAACGAATCATCACACTCTCTTTCTGGAAGCTACCTATATAAAGCACACCCAAATGAAAATGTATAGAAATGATGATATCCTTCAGTGTAAACATGAAATTAATAACCTGCATTGTGTGTTTCGCAAAACATATCAAAACGCTTCTAATGTGGGAGTCCTTCTTGCTATGTATTCGTAATAAATAGCTTTGCTGTAGGACTCAGAATTCATACTTAAATAAATACATTAGTCCTATATAAGGAGACCAAAATTTCATTCTGAATTAGCAAAGACAATAATTTATGTTCGGTCTTCAAGTATTTCTGTAAGATAATATCTCACCATTATTTTTTGTTTTTTCCGCATAATGCCCATACCAATGGACCTGCAAGGTACCTACAAAGGCTACAGTGCCAATACTAGCGTGTCTATATTTTCTAGTTTTTACCACTCGTTGAAAACCTCTGATGTACGCTCTGATAAACATTTGTATTACGAGTTTAAGCCCACTGAAAGCTTCCCAAAATAGAAAAAAGTTCCAACAAGTGAAATGATTCTACATGATAAGTTATTGTTGTATTAAGTCAAGAGTTTTCACTTTGACCAAAAAAATTTTTCACAGTTCCTGTCTCCGTACACCGCTGATACTCGTGTCACACAATCGCTTTTGATCTCAATCGAGCCTGATCCGGATGAAGTTTTCGTGATCATGATTGGCTCTTTTACGTGAACTGCAGGAAGTATAGCTACTCACAGTTATGAAATTTGATCCCGATGAAGCCTAATCCCGATCAGTAGTTCAATGTGTGACAAAGACATTATGTATAACTCTTCAATACGTACAACCGTGACTCGTTTTAGCTTATTAAATTTCGCTTAAGATTTAAAGTGCTCTTGTACTGATGTCTAAGTTGTATTTGCATGAAAAGCAGGCAAACATGATACTGTGTAATATGTTGGAGAGAATTAAGTTGTGTTTTTTCATCCTCAAAGGCGAGAAATGCTCATTTCTTTCTTAACCTTAAGTTGTGTAAAAGCAGAATTCGCGGCAAAAACGATAAACATTTTGCTTTTCCATCTAAAGCTCTTTCTATAATTCGGGATTTTATTTTGAAATAACGTTTACCTTTGCTCTTTGTTTGTGTCGAATAAACCTACTCATGCAACTAAGAACTGTGTGCTTAAACTAGGAAAACAAGGGCAAATGCTTGCAAAGTATGCTAGTGAGGCAGGCCTACTGATACCGAAACACGTTTCATTTTTCCTAACGTTCATTAGCGCTTGCGCTTTGCTACTGATAGCATGACCACAAATAAGACGATAGCTAAACCAAAACGTTTGCTGCTGCAAATGTTGAAAGCGACTAAAGATAACAAACTTCAGCGCTAAAGCCTTAGAACAAAGATCACCGATCGTTACGATCATGGTGAAGGGTGGCAAACCGTCACGGTGATTCTATGAAAACGTAACAATTTTCAATTTCACAGCACGAGAGAACAATCACCGACCATTACCGTTGCGGTGAGAATGACCCCCCCGCCCCCCTTTTTTGGAATTGAACCACGTCCTCAACATCAACTGCTAAACTCGAAGATGACACCCATCGTCCCCACTTTTCGGAGGCTCCAGATTTTTCACGATGACGACTGACAATGACGCACACGCACGCACATAGTTTCTATTCACGGCTCGTCTACTGTCCGCATATCCCCGTTTACCTTGCATGAGCATCGTGGGCTGAAGAAAGGACGCAACTGGTCGTCTTCTTTTCGTTCTTACGAAGCGCGAAAAAAATGAGGGTGAAGCGGGGCTACACTTTGGACAGATCTTTCGAACTAATTTTGTTACCAGAGCACGCAGACTTCTTGTGCTAAGAGAACTGCTCAGGCCATTTTTGGTCCTTCTGTGAACAAAGCAAAACACCTTAACTAGGGTAACAAATTGAACTAGTAGGAACATACTCCTGACAAAGTTGCTAGGCAGTGCATGTGTCGTGTACTTGTTTTTCGCGTCCTTTTGTATGCTGACCATCATTAAGAAAACACTTGAAATGACATATCAAATGCAGACAGTAGTGATGAACGCAGACAGTAGTGATGTCTCTTTGACATGACAATGGAAAGATGACTCACACAATCATATTTGCGCTGCGAAATAAAGCAGGCTTAGTCAATGTTTCATGGCGAAAAGCGTGATTGTGTGAGTCACCCTTTAATTGCTGTATAGAAGAAATAAGATCACTAAAGCCGGCGTTTTTGTGATTGCAATATCTTTTCACGTGTTTGCTATGTGCGCTAATGTACGAAAAACGCTTTGCACGGTTGTTTGAATAAACAATTAGCTTCTTGCATGGGTATTAGTGTTGCTCTAAATCCTGATCTGATTGCAATTCCACTACCTTTAAATTTACGTCATGCGCACCAAGGGGCAACCCTGTGGTTCTCTTGGCGTTTGCCCCCTCCTTGGCGATTGCGCCTTTTGGAGACGGTGGTGCCTTCCACAGCGCTGAGCGGGTATCAACTGCACGTTTCACGAGTTGTTTTAATGATTTTTGATAAATTGTGGCAATTAGATCTTTATAATTACTGCAGTTTATATTATTTTAGACCTCCGTTATTTGACCCTGGTTCTGAGGATGGTTAATCTTGCGTTATATCTGTTTCGACAACTGCGGGACCATGCCATACGAGGCAGTGGATGAACCACTTGCCAGGCCTCTTCTAGACCACATGTGAGGTCTTGAATTGCAACTACAAGTCTGCATTTTCTGGCAATAAAACTAGTTGATGGAAAACCCTTGTCCCGTGTGTACTGATGGTTCACCCGCTTGCATTTTTGCACTTTGTGAGTGCGAACCGATTCCAACTAGGTCAGATAGTTATGTTGCTACATCGTCTTTTATGCGTCTCATACTCCCGAAGGTCCCGCACCACCCTGCGGCGGGTGCTGGTGATGGTGCTGGTGTACACCGTGGTGGTGATGGTGGTGGAGGTGGTGTTGATGTGCAGCCTGTGAGGCCTGTGCTCCACCACCGGGCGTCTGTCAGGTGCTCTGGTGTTGGCGGCCCACCCGGGCAGACGACGGCGCCATCATGCTTACGGTGGGTATGCCCGCCGTGGCTGCTGCCGACGAAGAGGAGGTGCCCCGGGCACTTACAGGACGCGAGACGAGGCCAGCCTCAACAAAGCGAGGGTACGTGACCCTTTCAATGGTTCCGTCCTGTCCAGCCCACCAGATAGGAAAAGGAAATGGGTGAATGAGCATGAGAATTAAAGATTAGATTAGACAGACAGACAGACAGACAGACAGACAGACAGACAGACAGACAGACAGACAGACAGACAGACAGACAGACAGACAGACAGACAGACAGACAGACAGACAGACAGACAGACAGACAGATAGATAGATAGATAGATAGATAGATAGATAGATAGATAGATAGATAGATAGATAGATAGATAGATAGATAGATAGATAGATATTAAATGCAAAGCATTTCTTAACGAACTTCGGCGACTGTGAGCGTATCTATCTATCGATCTATCTAGCCGCCTACAACTTTTAGCTCTCCTGGCAATTTCGATAATGGTATCGATACCAAACTTGGTATGCCATAACATGACTGTATGAAGAACATATTTGACTAGTCATGACATGAAAATAATGACAGTTTATGTCATGAATGCCATGATTTGCCTTTCTCGGCCCTGCAGCTCTTGCGATGGTTTCGTTCAAATGGCATGCTGCAAACTGGTATGGTATGACATGATTGCATGGCGAACACAAGCGACAGACCCTAACATGACGATCATGACATGCGTGTCATGTACCAACATGACTACACGCCCCACTCATGATGCGCTCGCGGCCTTTTCGCTAGCGTCACATATACCAAATATGGTATTACGGAACGTGAATGTATGACGAAGGTATAATGCTGGTGCAAACATGATAAACATGCGATGCTGTCATGTAACAACATGACTACATGCTATGCTCATGATGCGCTCGTGGCTGCTTTGCTGGCTTCACGTGTAGAAACTCGGTATTACGCGACGCGAACGGACGTCATAGGTAAATGACACATGCAAACATGATAATCAAGACATGCGTGTCATGTAACAACATGACTACATGCCACACTCATGATGCGCTCGCGGTTGTTTTGCTAGCTTCACATATGCCAAATTTGGTAGTAGGTGACATCAATAAATGACGAAGGTATGCGACTGGTGCAAACATGATAATCATGAAATTCATGTCAAGTGAGAACATCACTACATGCCACAGTCAAGGCGCCAATCCATTTTTCGATGTGAGGCGGTGCCCGTGCTCGCAGGCCTTCATTTCATCGTGTCACGCCAGCATTGCGACGCCAGGTGCCGGTCCTGCCATATACTCGCAGGCACGCGCCGCACTGCACTGCTTTGGCGCATGCGCATTTCAGCGCGTCCGGTGCCCCTCTGTCATGAAAACAGGGAGACGCAGTGTTGTCTGCGTAACGCATCCGCGCGAATTTCACGCTGGTTGCCGTTGGGCCACGCCAACGGATGCTAGTCGCGCCGGTCACGCCGGGCGCCAGACTGTACAGTGCTCGCGTTTCGCTAGCTTATAGCGTCACTGTGCCAAGTGTGCACGTGCGTCAACGCTACATTAGAGTATATTGGGCCTTTCATGACATGCTCACGGCTGTATTCCTAGCTCCACATATACCAAATTTGATATTACATGACGTCAAAGGATGATGAAGTATATGACGGGTGCAAACATGATAATTGTGACACGCGTGTCATGCAAGAACATGACCATATATTACGCCAATAGCGTGCTAGCGTCCATTTCACTAGCTCCACATACACTAAATTTGGTATCACGTGACGTGAGTAATGACGAAGGTAAACGACGCATCCAAACATGAGAGTCATGACACGGAAGTCATGTTCGGCATCAATTACCCCCACCTCGTAACTGTTGTGCTGATTTTAAAGTGACATATCAATCTTTCCTAATCGCTACTTCGCATATCATCGATTCCCACTGCACGTGGGATCTGCCAGTTTTTATATGTACAGAGTTTGCGGAGAGGTTACGATAGTTATGTTAAATAGTGTTGTGAGGATATTACGTATTCTTGCCTGATGTTCTGCACCAGTGTCCCATGAGCGAGAGACTGATTTATTGAGCGAGTGAGGAATAAGTGAGCTAATGACCGAGGCAGTTATTATTGAGGGAGCCACTGAGTTAAACAGGCAGACAGACAGACACACATACAGAGAGACAGTCAGACAGACAAAGAGAAGAAGTGTAGGAACATTAAAATAACACAGATAAGGCAGATCTAACTGAGGTTGTTTCCGAGAGTAGCAGTGAATTGCGATTTAATGAATGGAATGTTGCTTCCGTTCCAGTGGACTGTCTACATTATTCTACTCGAAACAAAAACCTATGTCAAGCCATCGCTTAATCAACGTAAGTACCATTGCAACCAACATTACCAATTATTTAGTTATATAATATTGCCAACATTAGTGGCCACTTATTTTGTACTAGCCCAAATTAGCACTCATTATTCAGTGCTAGCCAGTGCTGGTGGTATGTCGTTAATCACATTCGGCCAAGGCACCAAATATTTCTATTTATCAATTTCAAATTGAGCGTACAATGAGGTTCCGGGGAGGGGGTTAGGCTGAGATATTTTCTTGTGAAAAAACTTGCTAAAATTTAATAATAAGCAATTTGGTTGCAGCAGTTGAAAGCTGAGACAGGCAGAGGATGCCAACCGCACGACATAACCGGGGGTGATCTGACTTGTGATAAAGCTGAGTATATGACAAGGGTGAGTGGAGCCAAGTGCTATGAACACAAGTCAGCTAGTTTTTGCACTTGGTTCAATTTAAAATTTACAAAGTAAGAAATGATGACATATAAACAAAACAGGTATTTGTTCACCATTTATTGAGATTTCTGTTTCTATAAAGACTTGTGAAAGACAGTAAATGTGGACATCTACATGAACTTCACTTATTTCCACCAGATTTTAGAGTGCGCAACCACCGCTACGAGCACGCATGTTCCCTGAAATCAAACCGAAGTTGAATTTTTATGGCGCGGCTTTGAACGCCACACACTGTGGAGCAAGGCGTCACCCTTTCGGTTCCGCTCACCGGAAAATATTTTTCCTAATGGCGACGGCGAAAATCAGCCGAAAGTGTCCATATGATTCCTATACTGTTACTTCAATAAAAGACGACAGGACAAAACTGGTTCCTTAGTGGCCATAGTGTCGACTGCTGACTCGACTGCTGACCTGATGGTAGCAGGATCAAATCCCGGCCACGGCTGCTGCATTTTTAGTGGGGGTGGAAATGGTAGAGGACCACCTGATTATATCTAGGTTCACATTAAAAAACCTCGGGTAATCGAGGAGCCCTTATCTATGAGATTCCTCATAAGTATATCATGGTTTTTGAGCATTAACCCCGAAAATTATAAAAACTCCTCTCAGAATCACTGTATCATTTTGTTTTTCTTTGTTGGTTTTATTTACAGCAGCCTTTCATTCTCAATCGTTTATCAAGTGGCTCAATTCACGACTTTGTTCCTACATGTTCAAATCGTTATGAAGACAGATGATTGATGATTTGATTTTATTTGTGGGGTTTAACGTCCCAAAACCACCATATGAAGACAGATATTAAGATCATGAATTCTTGTACAATATTACAGTCTTTACTTAGCAAGGCCACTTCGAATAATATGGTAGTAATTCCAGCACTTTGCATACAGCTTTGACAAGTTTAATTGAAGCCTCCCACAGAAGAGACCGTAGGTTTTTAGCTGTATCCTATAGAAAATATTTTTGTGGTGCTTGCTTTGGGTCTTCAAATATGGTGACTATATTTCACTGAACACACCATTCTGGTCACATAGCTTCTCTTCTCATATGTTCAGGAGTGTTCTCATATGTTGCAATACTAATGCACGGACAGTACCAAGCACTGGCCTGTTTCAACCATTTTAGCCTTTTTGGTACACTGCTTATTGTGTTGGTGCAAAATATTGATACGCGTACAGTTGCAGTTGAAGTTGCATATGCCCTCAGGCAAGTGCGGCACAATCAGTTCTGAGCCCGAGACACTTCAACCTCTTCTATGTCTAGAAGGGTCCTCTAATCGACACTGGCACCAATACCTATTTATCATTAACTCCCGGCTGCAAAAGCACAGTCTCAATGCATCGGATTGGTGAACGTGACACAGGGTTTGAATCGGGAAACATGCACAGCCTCAGTAGCTGGTGAGGTGGACGAAGGCTTGGGGGTTAGCAGCGAGAACTCGTATGCGACTTCGTTAACTCTGCGAAGAACTCGGTAAGGCCCGACGCAGCGTAGCAAGAGTTTTTCACTCAAGTCAACGGGATGCGGAGGCAGCGAGAGCAAGACCAGGGAGCCAGGGTTGAATCTCGCACCGCGGTGGTGACTGTCGTTAAGGTGCGTTTGGTTGGCCCGAGATGCCAGGAGTTGATTACGGGCAACGGGACGTGCCGTAGTCGTGTGAACAATGGCGTCGTGAGCAAAGTATGTGGTAGAGTTTGCCTAGGAAGGAAGCAGAGATATCGAGAGGCAAGTGCGGGTCACGGGCATACAACGGATAAAACGAAGCATAACCAGTAATGTCGTAACGTGACGAATTGTAGGCAAATGTCACGAATGGTAACGTGATCTCCCGATCCAGGTGGTCCTCAGGCATGTACATGGATAACATGTCCATGAGTATATGATTCAAGCGCTCAGTAAGTCCATTTGTTCGCGGATGGTAAGCGGTCTTGAACTTGTGAGACGGGGCACAAGAGCGGAGAGGGTCATCGACAACTTTCGAAAGGAAACATCGACCTCGATCACTCGGTAGCTGATCCGAGGCACCATGATGCAAGATGACGTGAAGGAGAAGAAATTCAGCGACATCGGTTGCACAGCTGGTAGGAAGGGCTCGCGTAATGGTATGGCGTGTCGTATAATCAGTCTCTACGGCCACCCACTTGTGACCCACAGACGGCGTCGGGAAAGGACAAAGGAGGTTCAGGCCAACATAAAAGAATGGTTCACTGGGGATAGATATCGGCTGAAGGTACCCAGCAGGCAAGAGAGAAGGCTTTTCGCAGCATTGGCAGAGATCACAGGAAGCGACGTAGCGCGGACCCGAGCGGTATAGGCCAGGCCAGAAGAAACGTCTGCGCACATGATCGTAAGTTCAGTAAACAACCAAATGACCAGCGGTGGGAGCATCGTGTAATTGCGAGAGGATAGTTGGTTGCAAATGCTGAGGAACAACGAGAAGCAGTTCAGCACCATGTGGTGTCATATTGCGTCAATATAAAGTACCGTCATGCAGAACAAACATACGGAGGGCGCCGTCCCATGGTGCTGAAGTGAGACGTTGTATAAGGGATCGCAAATATGGGTCGGGGCACTGCTCATTGGTGATGTGTACCAAATCTCTGAGCGACAAAACACAAGTATCTGAAGCAGTTTCGGTGGTGTCAGGTGGGTCAACGGAATAGCGGGAGAGGCAGTCAGCATCCTTGTGTAGCCGTTCGGACTTGTAGGACACAGAAAATGTGTATTCTTGGAGGTGTAAAGACTAGCGACCGAGGCGTCCCGTAGGATCTTTGAGTGAGGAGAGCCAACATAAGGCGTGATGGTCTGTTACCACAGTGAAATGCCAGCCAAACAAATATGGGCGAAACTTGGCTATTGCTCAGACAAGGGCTAGGCATTCACGTTCTGTGATCGAGTAATTGCGCTTCATGGCTGAAAGAAGGCGGCTAGCATAAGTGATCACACGATTGAGCTCTCCTTTTCACTGGGACAAAATAGCACCAATACCATGGCCACTTGCATCTTTACGGACTTCCGTGTGTGCAGATGGGTCGAAATGACCCTGAACGGGCGGATTCACAAGGCGGCTCATAAGCGTGTAAAATGCTTGAGCTTGCTCAGGTCCCCCACTGAAAAGGCTGTCTTTTTTAAAAGTATTAGTGAGAGGACTAGCGATTTCGGTGAAGTTCTCAATAAATTGTCTGAAATAGGAACACAGCCCCAAGTAACTTCGCTCATGAGAAGGGGTACAAGGAGTTAAAAACTCGCGGACTGCACGCACTTTGTCGGGATAATGCTGTATGTCAGTAGCGTCCACCAGGGAACCAAGGACGTGTAATTGATGACGGCCGAAATGACCTTTTGCAGAATTCAGCTGTAGGCCTGCTCGTCGGAACACGTCAAGAATGGCCAAGAGCCGATAGAAGTGGCTGTCAAATGTCGGTGAAAAAAGATTATATCGTCGAGATAACACAAGCATGTGGATCATTTAAAACCACGTAGAAGAGAGTCCATCATGCGTTCGAAGGTGGCCGGGGCATTACATAGACCGAAAGGCATCACTATGAATTGGTAAAGACTGTCTGGAGTGAAAAATGCTGTTTTCTTGTGATCTCTGTCATCGACTGCAATTCGTCAGTAGCCAGAACGCAAATCGATCAAACAGAAATAACTGGCATCATATAAGCAGTCTAGTACGTCATCAATACGGAGAAGCGGGTAAACGCCTTTTTACCTGATCTTGTTCAGATGACGATAATCAATGCAGAACCTCCAAGTATTGTCCTTCTTTTCTACTAAAATGACAGGGGACGCCCATGGACTGGGGTAAGATTCAATAAGATTCTTGGACAGCATTTTCTCGACTTCTGTTTGTATGACGTGACGTTCGACCACCGACACACGATAGGGACGCCTATGGATGGGCGAAGCGTCACCAGTGTGGATCAGATAAGTAATGATGTGGATTCGACCTAGCGGGCGGCTGTGAAAATCAAATATGTCTTCGTAAGTCATCAGAATGCGACGGAGGGCATCAGCGTATGAAGGTCGTAGGTCAGGAGCTATCATTTTGTTGAACTTCTTATTAGATAGTGTTGTCGGAGCTGAAGGTTGAACAAACGCAGATGATTGTTCATGGCTTAGATCACATACTCCGGAGTCGTCCAAAGGGCACAACACAGCAAGAGATACACCCTCAGGAAAAGCTTGTGGTGACGAGTTCAGGAAAGGAAGCCAAGCGAGGTTGTTGGTGAGCGTAATGATGGAACTAGGAAGAGCTATTTGACATTCTAGTGCGACGGCCTAAAGCGGAGACACGACGTAAGCATCATTCTGAAGTGGTGAGCAAGGCGACATGGGGACTTAAGTCGCAGCGCCAGGTTGCAGCCGAATAGTCAGTGTAGCGAGGTCGGGGCTGGACATCTGCGCAGGCGTCGGCACAGCATTGAGGTAGCTCAAGCTTTAGAAACCCGGTTGAACAGTCGATAAGCGCAGAATGAACAGTCAAAAAGTCCATTCCGAGAATCACCTCGTGAGGGCACTCGGCAAGTACAGTGAACAGTTGAGGGGTCGGAAGTGGTCATACGGGCGGTGCACATTCCCATGACTGCAGTTGTGCTGCTGTTGGCTACTCGTAGGACAGGCTATTCGGCGGGCGTTATCACTTTGCAAGGACGGCTCGAAAGTCACAGTACATGACCGACACCTGAGCTCCAGTGTCAATGAGGGCTTTAACGGACACATGATCAACAAAAACTTTGATCAGGTTTCATTTATGAGCGAGGGTCAATAGAGGTTTTGCTGTCAGAGTCATCAAGGCACCTCCTGGGGCTGCATTGGTTAGTTTCCCAAAGGAACGCCCTGGGTAGGATGCAGATGGGGGTCGCCGAGATGTAGGTTAACGGGACTGATGGCACTGCGAAGAGGGTGAACGACTAGTGGCGAACAGGAGAGGAATGGCAGGGTCAGCATACGATGATTCGGCGTGTGGCGGCAGAGGAAGAGCTGAGTGTTCGTAACGATGATCAGTACATGGTCGAGGCGATGAATTCCAGTAGCTATGGCAGTGGCGGGAGATATGGCCGATCCGGGAGCATACAAAGCAGATTGGTCTGTTATCCGACATTCACCACTCAGATGAGTTTCGGTACCGGTTCGCGGAATACTGTCGGGGCGTAGCAGAGGCAACGATCGAGGCAGTCGCAGTGGGACATGGGCCACCGGCGGGTGGTATGTCCATATTCGCAATTTCTTGGCGAACAACAGCTTGAATCAGCAAGATTGTCAGCTTGTCATGTGTGTGGAGACCATGAGAGTACAGAGCCATTGCCTCAAGTTTGCAACGTATGGCTTGCGTTAAACTTGGTGATGCTGGTTGATGCAGCGTTGCTGGTTCATTACAGGACGAGCTCGGAGCCGTATTAGGAAGCCAGTCGAAGCGCTTGGCTTTTGCTTGCTCAAAGATACAGCACTCTTTGATGAGGGAGTCGGCTGTTGTGCAGCTTTTACATAACAAGAAGCTGAACACATCGTCGGCGATGCCCGTCATTATGTGTTCGACCTTATCTGTCTCCGACATGTTCTCATTGGCTTTTTGGCAAAGTGCCAGGACATCCTGAATGTAGGAAATGTATGATTTGGTGGACATCTGGGCACAAGACACGAGCTTCTTCTGGGTTTCTGCTTGGCGTCCTACTGGTTTCTCGAAAAGGTCTCGTAGCTTCTCTTTACAAATGTCTTGTCAGTTCAACTTCGTGCGTCTCAAACCACGCTTTTGCGGTGTCCCCCAGGTAAAATATTACATCCGCCAGCATAAGTGTTGGGTTTCACCTGTAACTGTTGGCGACGTGCTGGTACATTGACAGCCACTCATCGATGTCGACCTTGCCAGCGCCGGTGAAGACTCCCTGGTCACATAGCGGAGGCATCACGTATTGCACTAGTGCCTGAGCAGCCGGTATACTGCCGTTAGCTATAGCAGCAGAACCAATGTGACGTCTGCTGCGAGATCAAGCTTCGACTTCTGTAGAGACGCACCCAGCACTTTTACCAAAATGATATGCACACAGTTGCAGTTGAAGTTTCATAAGCCCTCAGGCAAGTGCGACACTATCGGTTCTGAGCCCGAGGCACTTCAACTACTTCTGTGGCTAGAAGCGTCCTTTAGTTGACACTGGCACCAATACCTATGTAACAATATAACAGCAATTAAATAAATTGCCGAATTACTCACCCCTGGTATCCTATGGTGCGTCGTCGTGGTACCATCCATCTTTGAACTTGGTATAGGGTGGATCGTCTTTTGCTGCAACCAGAGAGCATATGGTTACCAATTAGGCTACAACCTAAGTTAAAATTTACTGCATTTTAGATTACATAAGGGTTGACTGTATACTGTAGAACAAAAATATTACGCACTGCTTTAAGTGTGATGGCATGTTTTCTAAATCAGCTTTCCTTTAGAGCTAGTTCTACTGTTTTGAGGTATACTGTTGTCCTTTCATTTTTGAATGTGATGGTGCTGATGAGCTAGTTTTGCATAAATTCTGGCATCAGCATGATTGGCAGTGAGATAAATTATGACAGGAAAATTGATGAAGATGCAAATAAAATAAGCAATGAAACTTTGTGGGTCTGAGTGAGGGTCGAACCCAGTTTGTATCTGTGGCATGCAGGTGTTCTTCCACAGAGCTATGATATTTTTTTTTTCTTTATTCCCTGCTTTTGTCGACACTTTACATAGTAGTTCATGTCTCTGAATTCTTATTTTGAACACTCGAGACTCACAACCCATGTCAAGTTTTCAATACTGCCTCTGCCACTTTTTTATGTGCATTGTGTTGTTGCTCACTGAACTATACATCACCGACTAGGCAACATTACCACTTTGACATACGTCCATACTTGACCTGTCAGTCAGCACTAGCCATTAGCGTGCCAGTGAATTTCTCGACTGCATGAACGCCGTCATTTTGCTGAATTTCTTATCATTGAGACACAGGCAAACGATCTACATATTGTTTAGTAATGTAAGTGAATATGTTTAGTCTCTGTCTCCTTAGGACAGGTTTGTCCCACTGCTACACAATAGGTATTAGTTTGATCCCGGCCACGACGATCGCATTTCAGTGGAGGCAAAATGGTTGGGGTCCATGTACCGTGCAATGTCAGCATGCGTAAACATCAGATGGTCAAATTTCCAGAGCCCTACACTACGTCTGTCATATTCACGTCAAGGTTTTGGGATGTAAAAACCCGGATATTATTATTATTCTGTTGCTTTATCAAATGCCAAATGTCATTGCTCTCCCCTCAAACAGCACCATATGCGTATGCTTTTGTTCCCGTGTCACCTCTTTCAATACACCTCGCTACGTGCGCACATCGGACACGATTGTCACATTTCAGGGTGTTTTAAGAGAGACATTGTGCAAAGATGTGCAAATTGCATCACATTACAATCGTGGCCATCCTGTGGATGAAGACAAAATATTTCCTGTGGTAAAATGCTGCACAGTTTTATATAATGGGCATCTGCATGTATCCGGTGTAGATGAAGGTGGTTTATGCCGGATTTTGTGAAAGCATCATCTAATACTTCAATGCATGCTGTGACTTTTTTTCTGCAGATCTCCTACCTTTCTTGGCATATTCCTACTCTTCTAGAGATGCTAGTTACTGCTCTATGTGTGCATCATGAATGTCCCAAATAAAAGATGCATGGTATATCCCTAAAAAATTATTTATTGATTGATTGATTGATTTATATGTGGGGTTAACATCCCAAAACCACCATATGAGTATGAGAGATGCCGTAGTGGAGGGCTCTGGAAAATTCGACCACCTGGGGTCCTTTAACATGCAACCAAATATGAGCACACAGGCCTACAACATTTCCGGCTCCATCGGAAATGCAGCCACTGCAGCCGGGCTTCGATCCCGCGACCTGCCGGTCAGCAGCCAAGTGCCTTAGCCACTAGACCACCATGGCGGGACTACTGACATTCACTAGAAAATAGTTACATTAGAACGCTAATAGTAAATGTGTGCTTAATATTTTGAAGACAAGTGAAAATCTGTACCTCTATCATCCTTGACAGATCATCCAGCTTTGCTTTTAGCTTGCGGTTTTCTTCCTGCTGTGCCTGAAAGGAATGGCAATAGATTTTACGAAATAAAAGAAAAATAATGTATACATCAATGAATTCAGAAAAGCTTTTTGGAGACATAAATTTAGAGAAAGCATTCTCAGTCTACTTGCACTTATTTGATGCTCTAAAATATAAAAAAGTCAAAAAATAGGTTAAAATGTTCAGTTTGCATATTTATAATAATTGTAACTTAATTCTGTATTTTATAGAACATGATCTCATAATGTCATAGCTTGGTCATGAATATAAGCATGAAAATTGACGTAAATGATAGCCCTATATGCATATTCGTACTCAATTTCACATTTTTACATAAACAGGCTGATAGTTTTCATTTCCTAAAGGTTCTATAAATCCCTTATTTTGAATAAAATGCACTATGAATGTTCATACATTAATTATCGAGAGTACATTCCTCGCACATTAACTTACATTGTTTCCTCTATACATTATACACCAAGCACGAAATGTCCAGATACACTATATTTTGATACAATAAACTTCAGATTCATGCATTTTCACAGAGCTGCAACACAGTGTGAACCTTTATACAGTAAGATTAACTTTCGTTTGCACTCAGCTGAAGTTCTGAGTTGCTCTAGGCATTAATACAATGCAGACTACATACATATATTGTCTTAAAATGTCATGCCAGCCATTTATTCTCACACGTACGGTAGAACAGCTTCAGCTGTAATGAGTTCATTACAAGCTAGGCATTTCGTCTTGGTTTGAATCAAAGCATACATAAGGAGTCGTTGTCGTTCTTTGCAAGTGAAAAATAAATATACTCTAAAATTTTGTTACTTCTAAATACAATGTGGTTGCCTTCAAGATGATAAGTAATTTATATTATAGAAAGGCGGGTGTGTCCACCTATTTTTTTTTTTCTGGATCAAAAAAGTGTTACGCTCAATAATTTAGGCCTTCAAATAAAAAGCAAGGCTAAATATTCTGCACAATACATCACGATGCTATATTTAGCTGTTTCACAGCTGACATATATAGCGCATGAAAAGTAAGGATTGCAGGTGACCATCTATAGTACAGACTCCAGAGTTACAAAGGAACTTTCACCCATATCTGAGAAAAAAAATTTTTTGCCGAACCAAGGCAAATTTTGGCTCAAATAGCAAGCTTTTTTAATTGAAAAGTTTATATAAACACTCATAAAAAATCTATATGAATTTACCAGTACAGACACTAAATGATCCATACAAATTCCTCAGTAAGATAATGATGATGTTTAAAGTTTTGTGGCGCAAGGGCCGTTTCACGGCCAAAGAGCGCCAGTTCATTTTACAAAAAATATGGACAATGATTGTGATAAGCGGCTGTATAAGGGCCATAAAATTCCTCGCGGTAAGGCGGGTAAACACATACAAGTAATAAAATCATGACCATGCCGTGAAAGGTGTGTGTGGTGTGAATAGATGACAAAAGTTGGTGATAATAAAAAACGATGGTGGACATGTATGCCATTAGCACAAGTGCCTCACTCGTTCATACCCTTGCGTTCAAGGGCCGTGAGGCAAGTGCTTTCTTGTGTAGCCACCGCAGCAAAGACCTCTCTGCAGAGGTCATGCTACGGGGGAATGCCCGGGTATATGATATGAAAACTATGAATTTTTTTTAATAACGCTACCAATGATTTATGACTCAAAAGCGGTTCCCTACCAACGAACATTGCAGGGTGTAAAGGTATATGTTGTCAATAGGGTAATGCAAAATGTTGTTTTCTTAGAGTTTCTAACTGTTTGCACTGGATTAACATGTAAAGGACCGTTAATGCTTCACCACATCTGTCACACAATGGTGGATCGCCACCGGACAAAAGATATGTGTGTGTCGTGTATGTGTGTCCTATCCTGAGCCTCGTTAGTATTACCTCTGTATGACGCGATTTTGATACTGGCAGCCAATGACCAAAGTGTGGCTTAATAAATGTGTAGTTTGTTTTGTGTGTGTCTATCCCACTTGCTCTGCCAGTAGTCCCTGAGGTTTCGTTTGAGAGATGGCTAAAGATCAAGGGCCGGGATTGATATGGGTGTAGGGGCAGTGCTTTTGTGGACGGATGCAGCGAGCTGATCCGCCCTCACATTGCCTTCGATCTGACGATGCCCTGGCACCCAGCACACTACAACATGTTAGTTGAGTGTGTAGAGTGTGCATAAAATGGAGTAAAGTGAGACAAGGACTGGGTTTTTTGGTTTTTTAAGAGTGTGCAGAGCCGTTACCACACGAAGGAAGTGTGTATAAATTACTGCTTTTTGTATTTGTAATTGCTTGATGTGTTTAGCCGCCACAAGTATCGCATAAGCTTCCACTGTGAAGATACTTGTGCTTGGATGTAGAGGGCCAGCATCCGAAAAGGATGGGCCGACAGCAGCGTAGGACACAGAGGAGTTAGACTTGGAGGCACCTGTAAAGAACTCAGGACATGTGTATTTGTGTTAAAGTTTCAGGAAGTATGTTCGGATATGGGCAATAGGCGCATGTTTTGTAACTTCTAGAAAAGACACATCGCAGTCTATAGTCTGCCACTGCCACGGTGGCGGGTATGCTACAGGAGCCATTAAACTGTGTTCAAGTGGCACTCCAGTTTCCTCAGCTAGACCCTTCAGGCGAACTGAGAAGGGCTGCCTCATCGAAGGCCTGTTTTGAAACAGAATGGAGCTCGACAAATCATTAATACAGGAGTATGAGGGGTGCTTCTTGTCTGCTTTCACCTTAAGGAAATAAACAACGGACATGTAAGTTCTCTGCAGATGAAGTGACCACTCATTTGACTCAACGTAAAGGCTTTCTACGGGGCTGGTGTGAAAAGCACCCGTAGAAAGGCGGATGCCCAAATGGTGCACGGGGTCCAGCATCTTCAAAGCACTTTGAGTCGCAGACTGATAAACAACGGCCCCATAATCTAAGCGGTTGCGAATGAGGCTTCTATACAGATTCATGAGACATTGCCTGTCACTACCCCACGTAGTACGTGACAACACTTTTAAAACATTCATGGCTTTTAAACATTTTGTTTTTAAATACTTGATGTATGGTACGAAGGTCAACTTGTTGTCCAAGATAAAGCCTAAGAATTTATGCTCCGCATTAACAGACAGACATTGACCGTTCAGTTCAATGTCGGGTTCTGAGTGCATGCCTCTCTTTCGGGAGAACAAGACACACGTGCTTTTGTGAACTACAAAAGAACTGCAAATAGTAAGAACTACAAATAGTAAGAACTACAAATAGATTTTTGTAATTAATCAGTGAAATTTTCTCATTACGAATCGTAAAGATTCATACGTATTTTTCAGTATGGATACCAGAAAATTCATGTGGACATTTCAGTATGGACTTTCATAAGAAATCCATACTAAAAAATTGTGTAAATTTCTAGACCCTAAATTCACCCACTTAAGACAATTGTGCTAAAATGAAGCAAATTCCCTTTTGTTTCTCTTACAAATGTCCTGCCACATTGTGAGATATTATAGAGATGATTTGCCACATGCATATGGCATGCTGGTTCTATTGTGCTCAGGGGGGTTTGGGTGTGTTAGTTGGAAAGCTTCTGCACTATGTGTTATACTTAGCAATACCCATTGTTCTGCAATAAACCATGCCAAAATGAAGTGAATAAAAAAAATACTCACATGCAGTGCCCTGCTTATGGTTTGAAGTGTTGTGGACACCCTCCTGTTGCCTTCCTGAAATGTGAAATAATAATTTGCCATTTTTTTCTTTTTAAACTTATCTATAACAAGCATAAACACCTTATGTTAATGACACCCCTGTGCTGGTGTCTTTTATTTTAGTCAAAACAAAGCGTTAGTTCCTCAATGAGAAATATTAGCTATAAAGTATTCCTCTGTGACAATGAATCATGCCACATTCATAAACTACATGCTGAACTCTAAGCATAGTCAAGAAGGAAGTGTCTTTAATGGTCTCTAGAGCTGCAGCACGAATCAAGATGTGACAGAGCAAAATGTATGAAATATTGAAAAATATAAAAGTACCCATTGCATTAAAAATATTTGGAAACTTTTGCAGGACTTTGACACTCTTCAGCAATTTCCCTTTTTATAAAGTGTGCTTAACTCTGCACAATATGCTACACTTCTACACTTTCACAACACAGATAACTGATGTAGGACACCTGGAAGGTACCGTATTGGCACAATTCTAGTGCACCTCCAATTGTCAGACGCAAGCTCACCTGAAGAAAACAGCAAAAATACCCTGTGCCGAATTCGCTTCTGTGCCCTGCCATAACGCATACACATATCCGAGGGAACGATATAAAAAAAAAAGCAGGCTACAGTCATAAAACTAAAACATGCTCTGGTAATCGTCTATTGTAGCCGACAAAGATGTGCAACAAATATGTATGCCACCAGCTGTCATAAAGTTGATAAAACATAACTTCTCTGTACATTGACAAGGGTATACGATGCGATGCAAACTGATTGGTCTGTCATGCTGTCTTGGCTGGATGCAGGCATCAAAAATGTCCATTTACTTTGTTTTCTTTGCCCTTGCCTTTTCGCGCCCACATCCCAGAATCATCACTTTTCTGTAAAGTGCCTCTCAAATACAATTATATTTGTCGTCCAACAGAAGGACAGCTCCCATACAAAAGTTACAAGTAATAGTCATCAACAAACCATGGCAGTGGATAGGTGGTTGCGGTGCTAGGCTGTCGAACCTTAGGACAGGTTTGACCCCAACCACAGAGGCCACATTTTAATGGCTGTGAATCGCTAGAGGCCTCTGTTTTGTGCGATTTCAGTGTGCGTTAGAAGAACTCAAGTGGTCGAATTTATTCGAAGCCCTCCACTAACGCATTTCTCATAGTGTGAATCACTTTGGAATGTTAAATCACATGAAATAACCAACGGTCATCAACATGATAAGAAAGCAGCAATTAATGAAGGACAAAAAAAATTGTAGCATATCCACAAAATCAATTATGATAAGTTGGACGAAGTGTTCGTCAAGCTGCCCATGCTTCCGTCCGTGTTGCCATTCGTGCGTCTGTCTGTTCATCTAGTGAGCACTTCAAGTATCGCCATATCGCTTCTTTTTATCATATATTCATCATATATGAGTACCGCCATCCAGTGGATAGTCCATGGACTAAAGGAAAGTATGTGCCACATTTCTGCTGTCAGCGCTTTGTTAACACCGAGAGCGTGATAATGACACCATCCTACTTTTTTCCTAACATTTGGACATGTGAATATGTGCCATAGGGCAGGTATGTGCCACTGGTATGTGTGTATGTGCCACAGGTTACGCACTATGACAACTGGAGAAGCAGAAGCCATGCCATAAGGAGCTTTGCCCCTAAAGTACGTATTAGCATAGTAAATTTAAAAGATTCCTGCTTAGCACCTGGTGCACGAGTGAATAATTAGATGCTTCTATTCTAAACTTTCCTGTTTTCTTTCAGGCAGGTTAAGAGGTACTGCCCTTTTATTTTAAACTATGTATACGTAGACCTTGCATTGCACAATACCTAACTATAAAATGAAGGTATTCATCCTCCGTTCTATTACAGCAAAGATGCCTGTGGATAAATTTTGGCTGATCTGGTATGCAAGCAAACGAAGCGTAGAGCTATTTTCGAAAGCCCTTATCACTTGTTCTTCTCACGACTTTGTCCTTGCCACCACCGATGCCATTTTCATAAGCATCACAATACTCGGCAGCCGCACTTCCCACCTATCATTGTGCTCATTTGTCTTGCAACGTAGATACCCCGCTAGCGCAGTTATCAGAAGCTACCTTGCAGTCTCGCTATGGGACGAACGCATGTCATTCGCTCGGATGAAGAAGAGCGAGAATATAAAGATCACATACTCGTCCCGAATTGGGAACACACGAGCTATGCGAAGTCCTTGTCACAGGACGCATAGGTTCAGCTGCCGACTTCACTGGATCCCACGATCACAGTCATAAAAGGCTTCCAAATATTGAATTCAGTTTCTGAATGGTGCAGTGTAAAAATTTTGACAAGAAGCTCAACACCCTCAATAACACATATGCAACAAGCGACGATGGTTGACACTTGCGACACACTGTTTCAACAAAAAAAACACAACGCTCGTGTTCTGTTCTACTGTGGCTTTCCGTGTGTGTTTCTTCGTGTTCAAATAGCACGTGTGGCAAGTATAAACTATGTACAAGCAACTAGCACCCACTCTGGTCCTTCAAGCGTCGGTGGCCTTGTTAAGTAAATGCTTACCTTCACAGCTTTTGTAAGTGCATCAAGCTGCACGTTCAGATGTCCTATCTCGTCTTGTTGTTCCTGTAAAACAATAGATGTAATCAAACATCAATCTATGGTGGTCAACTCTCATATTAGGTGAATAATGTAAGCTAAAGTTAAAAGCTTCAAATATTAACATTTAGTCATATAGTTATAGCAGCGAATGACAATTTAGCACACCGCTGCCATTTTAACCACTACCCAACACTACTAGTACTACAACAACGTTATCTAATTTAAAAAACAATAGCCTTTTTTTGGGATACCTAACGCAGATGTTTTGGTCTGTCTGTCTTTCTGCCTTTCTGTCTGTCACACAGATTCAGCCACCCGGCCAATGTTTAACCACTTTCTCAATGCCCAACCATATTGAAGAGAAAGCTACATTTGTACTTGTGAACATTGTCAATCAAAAAGCAAATATTACACATATCTGAGGCAACAACATCAATACCCAAGTATTAAGTTGCATCTTCCATTACTACAAAATACATGGATACGCAATTCTAAAGACCATAGTGTTTCTGCACTGAAAATGTGATGTTATGCACAAAAAAGCCATCTTTCGAGGAACTGGTGCTGCCACCTGGCAGGACAGAAATGGTACAAGAACAGCATCGCGGGCGTCTGCGGTGAGACCAGGACTAATGTAGTACGGTCAGCGAAAGACAGCTGTCTTTCTACGAGAACGTAATTGAAGCACGCAGGATACTTGACGTTTTTTTAAAGCATATAACGTACACGTGGTAGAAAACCCGAAATGTAGACTATACACTCACAACCATACCTGCCCCTGCTAATACATCTAAAGTCCTTTTTTACAACAGTTTTACAGACAATGAAACGTTTTAGGTACTATAAACTATTTGGAACCTACCTTATTCACAACAGAAAGCTCCTTGAAGTGGGTCACGATAATATGGATATGATCTTCAAATGTCAGGTGCTCCAACAGACTTTTCCTGGGACCCTACAAAATAGTTTGCAAGCACAGCGATATGCATGTGGTACAAAAAATGCCTAAAAATTTGTTGTTCCAACCTTGAAGTATGCATAATGTCACACAATGAAGCACTAACTGCTTAAACGAGTCAGTTCATATACACACATTGTAGATTAAAATATGTAATAATAGACCCACCCTTTGTAATAGACCCACCCCTGTAGTAATAGACCCACCCTCTTGCGGTACTAAGCATGGCAATGTGGACACCACAGTCTTCCAAAGAAAACTCCAAAATCAAGAGCACGTCGCATACTCTTGCAGAAACAGATACATTACTAGATCCTGTATTTAGAAACGCATTTCACAAAACGGCCAAGAAATGTGACAAATGAGTATGAACAAAACAGCCCAGCATGCGATTCATGTAGCGTATGGTGTGCTAAAATAAATACGTCTTTTAAGCGTCCAGAGGCATATTATAAAGCCATTAGATGAAGACCTAAGCCCTAGAAGACACAGAAAACAATTTTACAACATAACCTTACCTAAATATGTCTGAACTTGAGCTAAACATTTCATTACCGCGTGGTTACACAGTGATTGAACTGACAGAAGCGAACTATGCATTGAACTAATACATAACCAGTGAAGCCAATGACACAGTACAATGACACCAACCAGTAAGGTTGTCTGTCATCAGAGATATTATCATTCTGTGAAACACATCAATTTTTACACATGAGTGACCGTTCAGCCCAGCATTATAGCAGGCAATAGCGGAAGGTGAAAATAAACTTAAGACACAGTCGAACTAGAGCATTCATAAATGAGGTTACTGAAGGTTTCCGATGCAATTCGGCACAAGCTGCGCTGATTGATATCATTGCGTGAATGTTTTTGACGGCGAAAACTGGCTCCAAGTGACAATAAAAATCAAGTATCATCATGCTTTAAAAAGCATGATGATATTGGCCATCATGCTTTAAAAAGAAGCATTGACATTTTTTCTTAACGCTACAGGAGTCTATTCTTTTAGTTCTGTGTGTATAAACCATTACAGGCATACAGATTAACATAGACATGCACTCTTGACATCTCCAGTAATATCAGTTTCATCTAACGCATTGTTTTTCCGGTATTGCATGAAAGACATCCCCCTTATTCGAGTCTAAAAAAAAGATGCACGGCTCCTTTCAAGTGACACATGCGTAAATATATGGTGAGTAATGCAGAAACATACTTTTTTGTGGATACATTGTGAACGTCTAATCATGGAAACAACACAAAATGAAAGCATCGGCAACCAGTTTGTAGTTTGTCTTGAACCTAAGCCCTTCCAATCAAGTTTATGGTTTACCTGATTCAAACAGTGCTCAAGTTTTCTTTTGCTTTGTTTAAGAAACTTGCATGTTAGTTTTTGACCTCACAATTATAAATTGTGACTTATTTATTTATATTATTTATTTATTTATAGAATACTGCGGACAAAAAGTCCAAGCAGGGTGAGCATACATACTTCAGAGTTACTTTTTTTCTTTGTTAATATAAGTGCCCACTTTTTTTGCCTAAACGGAAAGAAGAAACCAAACTTTGTTCAGCCGACATCCAAGATGTAATGATAGTAAGCTCATGAATACACATTGCTACCATTATAAATGGGATTTTCTCAAAAGTATGTGTGTAATTGGCGAATCAAAAGTCATTGGCCGCTTCTTTATCTGAAACTAATGTGCGTGTATGGTGGCATTACATTCCAAACAATACAAAGTCTACTACCGTATTTTCTCCTTCTACAAAGCATCATTTGTTGTAATTGCTATTTTTGTTACATATTTAATTTATTTACAGACAATGCAGTCATATTAGTGGGCTCTAGCGAGATTTAAAGCAGCATATTCACGAAAAAAAATTAGGGAACCCTAAATTTTTGTCTTTTGGAATTGAATGCAATAGGAACATTCTGTTTGTAGTGTGTACTTCTAAGACTTAGTGCATAAAACTTTTTCGAATTCGCTATGCACCCACTGCATGGCCTTACATGAACAGGCGCAGTAGCGTGTGTGCCTTTTGTAGAGGGGTACTGTGTGTGTGTAGTGTGTACTTCTAAGACTTAGTGCATAAAACTTTTTCGAATTCGCTATGCACCCACTGCATGGCCTTACATGAACAGGCGCAGTAGCGTGTGTGCCTTTTGTAGAGGGGTACTGGCTTCCAATCTTGAAGCCATTATGATAATCCCATAATCTGATACCTGTTGGCAATGAATGCTTGACCAGGCAATATTACTACAGTATTTCATGTTGCATTGTGAAGCATATTGTCACGATGAGTCACAAGTACTGGGGGGATTTATTGAACGACCGGGTAGCTAGCTCTAGGACGATGCGTCAGTCGTGGCTGGCTCTCGAGCAGAGAAGAACGCGATCTTTTTTCCTCCAGATTTTGAGCCGCTCTTGCTGCCAACCCACTACGTGCTGGCGGCATTATCCCCCCTTCCGAAAAGAAAAAAAAACAACAAGTACCAAAAAGAGGAAAGGAAAGTACATAGCAGCACCGCGATGCTACTACATAGGCACGTGAAAAAAAATGGAAATTCGGATGAAGTGAAAGTAAAAATTGAAGAGCGTGCCAACATAGGAAATGTCAATGAACGAGAAAGTAAGTTCGCAAAATAAACAAAAAACACAAAGAACGCTGTACGGTAAAGGAAAAGTTACGAACAACGCGCAATAAATGGCTTCATGCGCAACACATGAACGACGTCCGGCCTCAGCCGTGTCCTGCTCCGTGCATGGGGTGTTGAGTCCGGAACCACTTCGTAGTTCACGTCACTGACGCGGCGTAACACTTTATATGGGCCAAAGTACCGGCTCAGCAACTTTTCACTAAGGCCACGGCGGCGGACGGGCGTCCACACCCAAACTTGATGCTCCGGGGCTGTAAAACACTTCTCTGTGGCGGGTATTATAGTGTCGTGCGTCTGCCTGCTGTTGCTGGCCGATGTGCAGTTCGCGCGAGCTGCCGGGCTTCCTCGGCACGCTCTGCGAATTCTTCGGCGTCTGTTGCCAACTCGTCTTCGTCCTGACACGGTAGCATTGAGTCTAGCATGGTCTGCACTTCGCGGCCGTAGAGAAGCCGAAATGGCGTGAATCGCGTGGTCTCTTGCACGGCGGTATTATACGCGAAGGTCACGTAAGGCAAGATCCGGTCCCATGTTTTGTGCTGTACGTCGATGTACATTGAGATCATGTCTGCGAGGGTCTTATTCAGTCGTTCAGTAAGTCCGTTGGTTTGCGGGTGATACGCAGTTGTCCTTCGGTGTCTGGTGTTGCTCAGTTTGAAAACTTCGTCCGTAAGCTGCGCCGTGAATGCCGTCCCTCTGTCCGTTATTACACTGGAAGGAGCACCGTGTCGTAACACGATGTGGCGCATGAAAAATTGTGCTACCTCAGAAGCCGTGGCTCGTGGGATCGCCTGGGTTTCAGCGTAGCGTGTCAAATAGTCGGTCGCGACGATCACCCATTTGTTGCTGTCCGCAGACATAGGAAAAGGCCCGAGAATGTCCATGCCCACTTGGTCGAACGGCGTGCAGGGTGCTTCAATGGGCTGAAGCAAACCAGCTGGCTTAACAGATGGTTGCTTTCGGCGCTGACATTCCCGACAGCTCTTCACGTACTTCTTGACGCTTGCCGAAAGTCCTGGCCAATAGTACCTCTCACTCACTCTGGCAAGTGTTCGTGAGTAGCCCAGATGACCGGATGTGGGTTCATCATGGCAAGCGAAGAGGACGTCGTCTCGCATGTCTCGAGGAACCACCAGGAGGTAGGCACGGTTGTTCGAACGAGCGTTCTTCTTGTACAGCACACCATCTCGAAGGCAGAACGACGGCAACGAGCGGAATAAATGACGTGGTATGATTGTGTCCTGGCCCTCTAAATGATCGATGATCGGACGAATCTCTGCGTCATCCCGCTGCCGTTTACTCAAGTCTGATGAGCTAATGGCGCCCAGGAAGCCTTCGTCTTCCTCTGCTTCCTGACTGACGACATGAAGGGGCGCGCGTGACAGTGTGTCAGCGTCTTCATGCTTACGGCCGGACTTATGGACGATGGTGACGTCAAATTCCTGCAGCCCGCAAGCTCCACCGTGCTAGCCGTCCTGAAGGGTCGCGCAGGCTTGCCAACCAGCAGAGGGCGTGGTGGTCCGTCACTATCTTGAAGGGACGACCATAAAGGTACGGGCGGAACTTGGTGATTGCCCACACGACTGCGAGGCACTCTTTCTCCGTAGTGGAATAATTCGCCTCAGCACGCGATAGAGAGCGGCTGGCGTAGGCTATCACTCTTTCGATGTCTTCTGGACGCTGGACGAGCACTGCACCGAGCCAATGTTACTAGCGTCGGTATGGACCTCCGTGTCAGCATCATCGTCGAAATGAGCGAGAACGGGCGCTGATTGCATGCGCTGTCGCAGCTCATCAAAAGCTGCTTGTTGCTCGTTTTCCCAGACAAACGGTGTGTCGTCCCTTGTGAGACGAGTCAGAGGTTCTGCTATCTGTGAAAAGCCATGAATGAATCGGCGATAGTAGGCGCACAAACCAAGGAAGCGCCGGACGGCTTTCTTATCGACAGGAGCTGGTAATTCGGCAACAGCGGCAAGCTTGTCCGGATCGGGACGGATTCCTTCGGCGCTAACTACATGTCCAAGAAACTTTAGTTCTTTATAGCCGAAGTGACACTTCTGTGGCTTTAGTGTGAGGTCCGCCGATCGGATAGCCTCCAGCACGCTGCGCAGGCGCTGAAGGTGCTGCTCGAACGTGGCAGAGAAGACCACCACATCGTCAAGGTAGACAAGACAAGTCTGCCACTTCAGCCCTGTGAGGACAGTGTCCATCATTCGCTGGAAAGTCGCCGGCGCTGAACACAAGCCGAAAGGAAGTACTCGAAATTGGTATAGGCCGTCTGGAGTCACGAAGGCTGTCTTTTCGCGGTCTCGCTGATCTACCTCGATTTGCCAGTACCCGCTTTTGAGATCGAGAGAAGTGAAATAATGGGCACGACGAAGTCTATCTAGCGAATCGTCGATACGCGGTAGCGGGTACACATCCTTTTTGGTCACGTTGTTAAGCTTTCGGTAATCGACGCAGAAGCGTAGCGACCCGTCCTTCTTTTTGACAAGCACGACTGGAGATGACCACGGGCTGTTGAATGGTTCGATAACGCCATCGTCAAGCATCTCGCGAACTTGCGTACGTATTGCTTCACGTTCTTTAGCCGACACGCGGTAGGGGTGCTGGTGTATTGGGCGTGCGTCCTCGTACGTGATGATCCTGTGTTGAGTGATGGACGTCTGGCGGATCTTCGAGCAACTTGCGAAGCAAGACCTGTACTCAAACAAGAGCGCTCGCAGCGCAGTCTGGTTATCGGTGGACAGATCAGGATTGATGTCAATGTTGCTCATTGATGTGTCTGCGTTATCCACTACTTCTGACGTGAGACAGTTGGTTACGTTTGCTACTTCGTGGGCAAACGCTATCGAAGTGCCACGGAAAAGGTGTCGATGCTCGTTGCTAAAGTTGGTAACGAGCAATTCAGATCGGCCGTCACGAACGTGTATTACACTTCTCGCTACACATATGCCTTGCTGCAGGAGGTGTTCTAAATTTGTCTCGGCCACCACATCGCCATCGCTCAAACCACAGCATGTTACGTCGACTAGAACACTGGCTTGGGGAGGAAGCGTCACGCTCTGTTCAGAAATACGGAGTACATCGACACGCATTCCGTCATCCTGCACGTTGATTGCTCGCTGGGCTGAGAACGTGACGCGGCGCTCTTGCAGATCAATGATAGCTCCATTTTCCTGTAGAAAATCAACTCCCAGAATGACGTCACGGGAGCATTCACGTAGGACAAGGCAGCTTGCTACGAATGTGTACCCTTGAATCTGTACTCTAGTTGTGCAGGCACCCAGTGGAGTAACGACATGGCCACCAGCTGTCCGAATCTGCGAGTTATGCCATGGTGTGATCACTTTCTTCAGCTGCGTTGTCAGTTTCCCGCTCAGTATGGAATAGTCTGCGCCGGTGTCCACTAACGCATTAACTACACAACCATCAATTGTTACTGCTATGTCGAGTGAAAGCCGGCTATCCTTTGCAGCAGCAGGTGATGTCGGACCAGTTTCTGTACAGTTCTGCGTCAATAGGAGGTCTTCAGCGCTTCGACGTTCAGCGACCCCGCCCCCAGACGTCGCTTCGGCTAGTTTTCCCGGCGGGGGCTGGGAGATCGTGCGGTAGAATACCGCTGGGGCGTTGATGAAAATCGCCTCGGTGATGGCGAGCGCGACTGGCGCCCGGCAGACGGTGGTGCATGCTGCTGGGAGAGGTAGTTTTGGATGTCGCGTGGTCTCTGACCGTAACGGGGTGGCGGCGAGTACGCAGAAAAGCCGCGAAGCCCAAGACGGCGATATGGGCACTGGCGGTACAAGTGATCAGCTTCTCCGCAGTGAAAGCACAGAGGCCGGCGATCAGGTGTGCGCCAAACATCAGACTTTCGAGGAGACGTGCGCCGATCGTCGATGTACTGAACTGGTTGCACTGAACGATGGGCGACAGAAGCACCAGGGACAAAGGGCAGGGGCGGTGGCGTGTACGTGCCTTCGTAGTACGGTATGTGCTGCGCTGACTGTAGTGAAACAGCAGGAACAGGATGGACGAATAATGGCGGCGTTGCAGCAGGGCGTTTCAAGGCTTCCGCGTAGGTTGTCTCACGGCGGTATTCAGCAGGAGCTGGCACAGCTGTATCATGAGGCAAGGTGTCCCGGAGGGCCTGGTGCAGCTCATCCTTGATCACAGTTGAAATAGAGTTGACTGTAGGATGAGGTGTTACACCAGCCTTTTGTAACTCTTCACGTACTATATCACGGATGAGTTCACGTAGACAGTCGTTGTTGGTTCTAGTGGCGGTGAAAATGTCGGCAGTAGACATGCCACTGACTTGCCTGTCGTATTGGTTGGATCGCTGCTGCAGCATTTTTTCCATTGTCACGGCCTCGGACAAGAACTCCGCGACTGTCTTCGGAGGACTTCGCACGAGGCCGGCCAAAAGCTGGTCCTTGACACCACGCATCAAGTGACGCAACTTCTTGTCCTCAGTCATTCTTGAATCGGCCCGTCGGAAGAGGCGCGTCATGTCTTCGACGTACGCGGTCACAGTTTCGTTTGGCGACTGGACGCGGGCAAGAATAGCTCGTTCAGCTCTTTCTTGGCGGTCAGTGCTGGCATATGTCTGCAGAAGTCTACGACAGAATTCGGGCCACGTCGTCAGCTGCTCCTCCCGATTTTGATACCACGTGCGAGCCCCGTCTTCGAGATAGAAGTAGACACGACCCAGTTTCGCCGCGTCGTCCCACTGATTCAAGTTGGCTACGCGCTCGAAGTCCGCCAACCAGTCCTCAACGTCTTCGCGCTCCGTACCATGGAACGTCGGCGGTGCCCGTGGGCTTTCCAACGTATAGCGGTTCGGCGACGTGCTTCCCGTGCTGGTTGCCAAGGTTTGTACCGAAGTGCTGGTCATGTTGTTGACGTGGTGGGAGCAGTATCGTTGACTTCCGGAGGCAATCCCCTGATTCGGCGGCTGGTCCGATGCACGGGAGTGTTGACTGGCACTGGACTCGTATTACGGCTTCCTGGGGGGGTCTGCAGCATCCGTGAGGCTACCCAGCACCTTCCACCAGTTTGTCACGATGAGTCACAAGTACTGGGGGGATTTATTGAACGACCGGGTAGCTAGCTCTAGGACGATGCGTCAGTCGTGGCTGGCTCTCGAGCAGAGAAGAACGCGATCTTCTTTTTTCCTCCAGATTTTGAGCCGCTCTTGCTGCCAACCCACTACGTGCTGGCGGCAATATATACAGGACGCATGTGTTTGTGAAGCATGAAAGCTATTTTTCACTGCATTTCCAAGCAGAGGAAGTTCTTTTCACTGTTTTCTTAAGCAGAGGCATGGTCGTGTGGTAAACATCCGCTTGCCATGCAAACGACCTGGGTTCGATCCTCACTCGGACACCAACAACCTTGGTTCTGACTTGACTCTGCTCCAGGGTTTTTTTATTTATTTCATTTGCATCGTTCTCTATCTTTGGTCACACATGAGTTGGTGATTTTTCACTCACAACTAAGGACGCTGACAACGACACTGGAATTGCTGCGAAACTAGCTCTATAATGCTATCAGATTAACAGTGCAAAATGGTGCACATGAGGAAATATACAGGTAAGTCAAACTATGTATACAAAAACACACAAAAATTTGAAAGATGAGAAAAGATAAAAATATACAAAAAATATGGAAAAAGATAAAAAACTCATTTAATAGCAGTGTCGTTCTTGAAAGTGCCTTACCTCGAATGTACATCCATAGTCCTTCATTGTGCAACACCAAGGCTTCAGCTCGCATTCCTCGTAGTGCAGTGGCAACTAAAAAAAGCGATGCAGAAATACAATATCAACAGAGGGCAAGAAACTAGGGAATAATGGTTAATTTAACCGAGTACCCTAATGAACCTTTTTATGTGCCATCCTAATAGTCACATACTTGCCCTTAAGATGTTCGGACTATAGGAAAAACATTCGAAAAGTGTACCCATTCTACAAAAAAACATATTGTATTTATTCAATGGCATACCGAAAGTTTTAGTAAATCTCGTATTGATGTACATGGTCACATAAGTGACTGCATGCTGACCAGTGCACAGACCTGTAGAGAGCCAGGCCCTGACTCTAATAAAATAAATGTAATTTATTAGGCTGACTTGAGCCCGAAAACAAGCAAACATGCACTGCTCGGCAATGGTGAAAAGAGAACAGCGTGCCTGAATGGTGGCTACCAGACTGCCCGGTGGAGGATGCGCGATTCCTAATCTATTCATCGCTTATTAAGATATTGGAAATCACGATGACGCACCGCTACACTTTTTCACATGCTTGACGCCGGTAAGTAATGCGATAACATAGTCCAGTCCTTAAGTTCATGTTTATATGCACAGCCGCTCGAAATCTTCAGCTATCGCGCGTAAGCGCCGACTTTTTTGTGCATCGGCGCAGTACACCAGAGCCAAATTGCAAACACAGCGAGAGTAAGCACATGGCGACGAAGCACACTCCGCTGGGCTTATCCTCTGCTTGGCTGTTGCTTTTTGAGAAAATCACCATGCATCAACTCACTTCAGACGATCCGCATTTGTCAGCTTATCTCATGTGAGGGGGCGTGTGGCGTACCTGCGAATTTTATTTTTTCAGTTGCTCATTGATCTTCACAATATAAGATTCGAACAAGATGTGCCGCCTATTCGTCTGACGTGAGTTAATGCAGCGGGACGTTCTCACGAAAGAACAGCCAAACAGACGATGGGATCAGCTGAGCATTCTTCGTGGCCATGCTTTTACTGTCGCCCTGTTTGCGACTTGGCTCTGTTGTACGGGGCTGACGCATAAAAAAGTTGGGGCTTGTGGATGATATCTAGAGATTTGGGCGGCTGTGCGTGAATATATGCCATCTTTTTATTCATTGTTCATTAGAAAGTTTTGGGGGTGGAGGTGAAATTTTTTGAATGCAATGCTGCCTCGACTACACCTATAGTACTATCGCACCACATGCATAGCATGCTGGAAAGCTGACTCATTGGCAATTTGCCTAAAGATTTACGGCATCAGGATCTGTAATAATAGGACAGTGCTTGTGACAGAACATTGCACAAGCCAGGCCCAAAATTATTTAAAGATATTTAGGACCAGTTGAATAATAACCTACCTCTCCCAGCAGCAAGCCATCGGCACCACAGTACTCGCAAATTACGAGCTTTTCTGGACAGTGTTCCTTGTGGTCCTGGTCAAAAAAAAAGAAAGAACATGTGTCCAATTATTAAATACGTCGTCACGGCCAGGAATGTGGAAAAAAAATATCTGTAGCTTAGATCGGCTATTCCAGGATATATGTAGTGTGAGCTAAGGTTCAGCTGATTATTCTTAGCATTCCTGGTTGCCTAGAGTAGCTTAGCATTCTTACTGCTAGACGGCCAAACAGACAGACAGACAAATCAATTAGTGAGTGAGCTCACGCGAGTCAAGTGCCAGCCCACTAGTCACACTTGTGTGCTAGCAGGAGCTTCCAGGCCTTCGCCTGTGTGCCAGCTGTGCACCACTACGCCCCAGCACTTCTCAACATAAGTCGCATGAAACTGCTCAACCTCAGCCAGTGTAGCTTAAGGTACAAAATTAAATGCATAGAGTGAACTTGTCAGCTAGTTGGTTGAATATGATCGTAGAGGAAACGGTGCAAAAGACCAGGATAGTATAGGCACACACACAAGCAAATGTAGCGCCAACTGAGAACTGAACCTTACAGCGGCGAACAACGTAAACAAAATCTATCTCTGTATCAACCCTCGTCATTATAATCTAGAAGAGAAAAAAAGAAGGAAAAGATATCAAATGGGCATCGATGCAAAAAGCTTTGGGCACACAATGACAATGGTTAACATATGATTTGCTGGTGAAAAGGTTTCATTCGTATGCTTTCCTTGTCATTTTCCTTGTCAGATAAAACAAAAGAGAGTGCTTGCAAGAATATCTCTTAGAAATGCAATCTTCTGGGCCCCGATGATTTGAAAGCTTCTTGCAGTGGTGTAAATTCGATATCTTTGTAATGATACGTTTTGTAATGAACCAGTCGGCAGTGAGGGCCACTCCTATCTTCCCGTTTCTCTTGTCCTATATTTCTTGCTCTGCTTTAGTTTTAGGATCATTAGCAATACCCGTGTTCCACATTTATTTAGTACATGTTTACCTCCACAGACCAGTACATGTAGGCAACATGCAACGTATAAGCAAGGAAGCATAAAGCATGGTAGACGTACATTGAGCAGCTCTTTGTGGAAGTTGAGGCCACAGTGATCACATGCGAGTGGCCTCTTGGCACACACACTGCCCAGGTGGCTGAACAGGTCCTTGGACAACACGTCCTCCTCGCACAGGGGGCACCGCTTCTTCATGTAGGGGCAGTCACGAATGTGGTTCTACGCATTGCAAGACAAGGAGATCATTTTCTTCGTCTCCTTGCAGGCACATCATCAGCAGCAGTAGCAGCAGCACCGGCCTTGCTACGCCCACAGCAAAACAAGGCTTCTCCCATGTTCTGCCACTCAACTGACTCCTGTGCTTGCTGCTGCCACTTTACACCACAAACTTTTTAACCTCACCTGCCCACCTATCTTTCTGCCTGTCTTTTTCGGGCCTGCCTTCTCTTAAAATCAAGTCTGTGATCCTTAATGACCAGCGGTTATCTTGCCTTCGCACTACATGCCCTGTCTATGACCATTTCTTCTTCTTGATTTCGACTATCATGTCCTTAACACCCATTTGTTCCCTGATACACTCTGCTCTCTTCTTTTCCTTTAGTGTTACACCTATCACTTTTCTTTCCATTACTCACTGCGTCATTCTTAAGTTATGTAGCACCCTCTTTGTAACTCTCCAGGTTTTCGCTCCATAGGTAAGCCCAGTAAGGTGCAGCTGTTATATACCTTCTTCCTGAGGAATAGTGCTAAATGCTGTTAAGTGCAGGCACATAACGGTATTTAAAAGCTAAGAAACTGGCTCACAATGTGTTCTGGCCAGCCAAAAGTGACCAATCAGGAGCCAGCATACTTCAGTGCAATTCAAGCAAATGCATCTAAAGGCAGTTATTCAAGAATATCTTAAAGTTAGTACTGAACACTTTGTCATCTTCACAGAGCCTCGACAGTGATGAGCAAGCTTCACCGCATGCTCTTTAACTGTCCGACAACATCAGTACACACAAGGGCTTCCTGATCACAAATTTAATCTCGATTATTCTTATTCAATTCGTTTTTGGACAAACCTTGATTTAACCTGTTCTTGCTTATTGTTCACTATCTACTTTCTTAGTACAGGGTGCATGCTCCTCGGTTTCCTCACGTAGTTCTTCCTTATAAGTAAGAACATGGTGCTACAATATCGATGTGATCAACTATTGTACAGATTCAGTCTTCCTAACCAAAGCGACGAGATTTATTTAACAGCGTCGTGCTTATTTTTGTTATTACTCTTAGAAAACTTGTTATATCTGGGTGCCTCCACACTTCACTTGATTATCACAACAAAGTCCATCCAGCTAAAGAAGTCCTGGATAGAGCCTATCAAACAGCGTCTGAGAACTACAGGCTGGCTGCAGGCTGCACTTGTACGTCACCATAAATACAAGTGTGAAGTATTGGTAGCACACTGTATAGAAAAGCATGTTGCAGAAGACAAGAGACAGGAATATAAGGCATGTGCAATGCCTTCCATACAGCATATCTCATTAGATTCACATTTTGAGCTTTATGAAGACCTACAAAACAGCTAACAGAAGTGCATCGAGCTGTAGTAGGAAGCAATAAAATTTTGGTGCGAGTGACCCACCTTGAATGCAGCAACCGTATCACTGAACCTGCAGCCATGGATGCTCTGCGAGCACAGCACCGTGAAGTCTTTCAGCGAATTCCACACAGTGTCATCTGGAACAATCTGCAGTGTGCAAAAAGAAACGCAGTGCTGTGTAAACGATTTCGGTTCGGTACTCTCAGTCTCACTCATAAGCAGTAATAAAATGTGCATGAGTATTAATAAAGCAGTACTTCTTCAATGCCGATTCGCCACTCCAACTGAGCGCTCGCCACCTGGCGGCCGCGCCTGAATATGGCGCTAACAGGGTCAACCTTGAAAGGAGATATGTTATCGTGCTGCGCACACTGAATAGAGGACACATATTTCTTTTATTTTCGCCATGCCGCACGTGCTCGCCCGAAAAAGAAAAAAGTGGTGTCCAAAGACCATTGCAGTGTGCAGCATTGCATGCCATCCCGGTGGAAAGATGGAAACGTATGGTTGAATCACTTCCCAAAGGATGCAGCCGATGCGCGAAAGAGAATGACGCAAATCAGAAAATTACGCATTAGAAAGAAGGTGACAGACACTATGGTATAGTTCGTTCTAATCAATTCGCTTGCGACGACTTACTTATTCTCTGTAAGTAGACCTACATTTAGCGTGTGTGCATTGTTATCAGTATTCTGGCTTCTCTAAGAGCGTTATATACTTTCTTTTATATAAGCAAGCACCTTAAAAAATTCGTTGCGTTACCGAGTGTGACTTTTCTTTTTTGCATACGCTTGTGTTCTGCACAAGTCATAGTGGCACTCATATTCAAATTAAGCTGTTGTAATCCTTCCCTTCAAACATTTTTATTATATATATATATATATATATATATATATAGGCAGGCATGGTGGTTGAGTGGCCGTAGCGTTGCATATAGTCCAGTAGGTCCTCCGTGAGCGGTCAATACGTGGTTTATTTCGACGTTTAGGCCTAGAGTCTGGCCTTCATCAGGATTCTGATGAAGGCCAGACTCTAGGCCAAAACGTCGAAATAAACCACGTTGTGACCGCTCACGGAGGATCTACTGGACTATATATATATATATATATATATATATATATATATATGTGTGTGTGTGTGTGTGTGCACACAGACATGCCTGCGATGGTCGTGCATGCGTAGCGTGTGTGTACATATGTTCGTGCATATAAATATCATATGCGTGCATTCGTAGCGTGTGTGTGCTTGTGCATATATCTGCTTTGAATATCACCTGCTGAAAACTCAAACAAAGGAGTGTTCGGAAGCACATGAGTGACGCGACCTTATTTCTTAGAAACCCAATAGCATGAATCGCTGAACGAAGAGAAAGAATGACTCCTATTGCAATCGAAGCTATGATTTGCCTTATTTCAAGATACACTGGCCCAGGCATAGCTCCATTCTGTAATGAAGCGAACGGCATGCGTATCCAGCTTTTGACGGGATAACGGAACCCTATCAGCAGCACGAGTTGCAGCGTAGTTACCTCGAAAACAGTCAAGGCCTTGTCTGTAACAGTGTGGCAATGCAGCGGGAAAGTGCTAGAGCCTTTCGGATAGGCCTGCTACACATGTGCAGTTGCCTTCTTCAACCTCGGGTTCGCTAGACAGGGTCTTCAACTTGAATTAAGTCTGGAGCGGTTTGCGAAAGAGGCTCGATCTTAGCGCGCACAGTGCTACTACTTCCGCAGTTTCACCAATGAAATAATTTATGCCGATGAGAATGACGTGCTCTGTGGCCAGCATTCCTTCACCTTCTGCGAAGCAACGGGATCCGATGCCACAACAAGGAAACTTCAGCACAACCCCAAGTGAAAGTGTCGTGTTGACCTTTGTTAAGCATACCCATCTTTGTTCTTTCGACCATTGTTACCAGGCGACAGAACGTTTTATAGAGTTGGATTAAACCTTGAACTTAACATATAGCACTGTTTTTCACAAAACCACGAGCTATCGTGTAGGCCACAAACGAAGCATATGCATGCCGAAAAACAGTACCAACATCCTATTTGATGGCTGTGATACACATACCAAAGATATCTTGTTTTCAGCCCTGATATGTGTTTTACTTTCCCATGCGCGGTGGAATTAATAGATCGTACACTGCATGATTTGCACGTTATGCTTCTAATTATAGGAGTTGATATGAAGTTATTATCCTAGACAACACTCGATGTCCTGAGGTCGTCCTCATATGGTACAACCGTCCTCGCACAGTTCTCATTGACCTCAGTACTTACCGAGGACGACACAAGCTGGTTTGACCTAGAAACGTCTTTTCGAGTGTTTTCTGAGGACAACAATTGGTCCGGAAAAGGTCCTGTCAAGGATCTTTTGGGGATGACGAAAGCATTGCACTGAGCCCTTAGATATAATTCCTCAAAACCTTTGCGCCCCAAGTAGATGTATTTCATATGTGAAGACTTTCTCCGCACGTTAGTTTCATACAGTCATAAAGTCATTGTATATTTTTGCGTCATTTGTCTGTTTTTTGGCAGAAAATTCTCAAATTATGCGTTCCGCCTAATGAGACATGCATAATTAATCGGCTTGGGTATCGAACCTGGTATTGCGAAATGTCCATTTGAAACAGTGTGTTCTTAAGTGTCACAGCCTTAAATTAGTCATTATATGCTGCTGTAGCGCGTAATAACAAACTAGCAGCTGCCAACCATTGACCATTCAGAATAGTCAAGTAGCCAAGCCATTCCAAGCCAACTGACTGTAAAAATGGGGTCCGTCAGGAAAGATGCTGTGTACTAGTGAAGGTTCGTGTCCTTTGTTGTTTGTGTGCGGGGTTAAAAGCGAGATATGTGTGAGAGTTTAAGTCGTAGATGATGACAGGAGGTAAATTGCCGTGTTTATAGGTGCACTGGGCTGCTCAACGTTCAGGCTGATCATGTATGTATTGTCACCAGCCGACCGCGGCGAGGTGTGATACGAAGCAGCCTAGAACACCAGCGAATCACGATCAATTGTGCTTCGAAGCAGCCTGGTCCCAACTTGAAAGGATCGACTTCTGCATCTGACACATGGCCCGGCCTCGGGCACGTCAAGTCAAAGCCCATGTAGAGTGAACTGGTAGGCTGTCATAGTGGAGCCCCGTAACACTAGTGAGTGCATTGGGCATGATACACGTGGTGATGAGGACACTGTGTCAAATTTTTGAGGAAGGTTACAAACGTGATTGATTGAGCTGTGTTGAATGTCTTGATACTGCTTTTCTTTTTTCAGATTATATGTGGACTCCAATGCCTGACAAAGCTGTCAGTTGTGATTAATTACCATTTAATAAATTTTAGTCAACAAGCTTTGTTTGTTTTGTCACCTCTCTGTTGGTTGATAGAGTATATATACACGAGACCTCGCAGGTGTTTTTCTTTTGATGTATGGAAATATCATGAAAACAAGTAAATCCTAAGTAGTATCACTGCCCACAGTACAGAACCGGCCACGCAACTGCTGTTCTGAAAAGATACTGAAAAAGTCCTGAAGTGTTGTTTTGAGGATGTGCTGAGGTTGTTATGTGTATGGACAAGGGGACGGGATTAGCGCCATTCTAGTACCTTAAGAGGACATTCTGAGGGTGTCAGATTGTCCTCACGGAGGCATACTGAGGATGTCCTGCAGTTGTGTTTGTGCTGTCTGGGATGATACAATATGTGACCTTTCATGAAGAAGGACATGGTCGAAAATTCTCAAATTCTGCCATGTAGTGAAAATATGTAATAGTAGCATTTGGAATCAATGAGGCAGCCTTTTGGCAGGCTTTTCGGCCAATCAGACCTGAAAACACAGTGAGTTCCATAACTTCAGCAAAAGACCATCTCCAGATTAGCTATACCATGTCATCGTCAAAGGAATATGCATTAATGCATTCACCACGGACGTTAACCAACTCGTACAACTTTCAGCTTTGTCACAGCTTGACTATCACTTTTGATTGAATCACTACCTGTGTGGTGTTCTAATGCACAGTGTAAATTTTTTATGAAAAGGGACACGCAAGCGCGTGGCCTGCGCTCTGTTGCGGCTGCCTAAGCACCATCAACCGACAAATAAAAAAAGTTTGTCTGCTTTTCGCGTCATCTGTCAGCAAACGAAACAACAAGTCATGACCGTTGGACAAGCGCTGCTAAATTGTGCTCCCGCTCTGGTCTCGCAACTGGCGATGCCACTGAAAGCGGATGCGCTTCATTTATCTGTCGGCTGATGGTGCTGTAGGCAGCCACAGCAGAGCGCCGGCCACGCACTCGCGCGTCCCCTTTCATAAAAGCGTATATTGTACCATCATCACTAAGCTGAAGACGAACGCTCCAATGCGTGACCTGGACTAGTGTGACTGACCCGCAAAGCACTGGGGGCCCACTGTTGCCGAAATAATACTGGTATGCTCATACAGTAGGTCGGCATGCATGGACAACATCTCGGCCACAAAACCCAAAGATGATTTGATTTATATGTGGGGTTTAGGGTGCCAAAATAACCATTTGATTATGAGAGACGCCGTAGTAAAGGGCTCCGGAAATTTCGACCACCTGGGGTTATTTAACGTGCACCCAAATCTGAGCACGTGCCTGCAGCATTTTCGCCTCCACCAAAAATGCAGCTGTCGCAGCCTGGATTCGATCCCGCGACCTGCGGGTCAGCAGCCAAGTACCTTGGCCACTAGACCTCTGCGGCGGTATCACAGAACCCAATAAGCTAGCTACGCGGCACTAGCGTCAATCAGTTTTAGGACACCCTGTGGAGCGTTCGTGTTAAACTTCCCGACGAGCCTATACCTCAACGTCAGGTATATATACACCGTACCTTCTCGGTCCAGGTCTCGTTACCATCGACGGGGCACAGGAGCACGGGCCTGGAGCGCATGAGCTCCTGCTTGCATCGCTCGCAGAAGGCGTGGCAGCAGCCGGCTCGGTAGATGACCGGGCACACAGCGCGACACAGTGTGCACGCCAAGTTGCGCGGCAGCGGCAGCTGGAACTCGAGCCGCACCTCGCACGGCAGGCCCGGGAATCCCCGGAGTACCGTCTGCGACATACCCGCCTTCTCCTCCGCCTCCTCCGCGCCTCCTCCTCCTCTGCGATGTACGCGTTTACTTAGTAACTCGCGACAATCTAAGGCATATGAATCTCGGAAACTATGAACAGAAGACATGGCCAGCCAGCATCGACGTGAGCAAGGCTTATCATTAGAGGGGAGGGAAGTTTCGTCGCAGCACCCCCTTTTCCACCCACACCATTGGTCGAGTCCAACAAGCAGCATGCTTCACGTAATGCGTGATAACAAAAAAAAAAACGAAAACCAAGCGCTGGACGAGGATGAGGTGCTACGCCCGGGCTTCATTAGTCAGTGGCTTTCGGGACTATGGAGCATGGGAAGCACGCGCACCAGCTATCAAGAGATAGCGCCACGTGTTGCGCAGTAGCGGTGCGCAGTGCACCCACTTGCGCTCTTCAAAAGATCCAGCCTGTGCGCTGCCCGAGAAAAAAGTGCCGGGGCTGCCGAGAAGAATGGATGCTAACAGCAAAGCTGCTTGATGCAGCTGTCCGAGGATCATTATCTCCGCGCACCTGTCTCGTCCCTAGGCCTACCCTGCCATATGCCGCATTTAGATAAGATAATAAAAATGTTGCTGTTTATTTTGACGTTCAGCCTCCGGCCATTGTCCTTGTTTTATCTATATACGACAGGACGCAGCAAAACCCACAGCTGGCCCCCAACGTGGTTTTTGCTCCCGCCCGTAGGAATGGCACGGCTTCGGTTTTCGTTGCCGAAGTTTTGTGTGCAGGCACTCAAAAATTCGTGTGCCTTGTTGCGTGTGTTCTTGTTGCGCGGTATTTGTTTTCTCCCCTTAGCGCAGGCAGACGGAAAGCAGCTCCGTTTGAGGACGATCTTTCCTACCGGCGACAAGAAGGATTCATCTCTCTAGCCGGCTAAACATTGTGTCCAGCTGGCACAGCAGCTGGACAGATTTCAGCGTGTCACGTCACTCAGTTGTGCAATGCGGTTCCGCGTAAGCAGTCTGGCCGGGAAGCCAAAGAGGGTTTGTGAGCCACAGCTCCGACCACTGGTCGAGGTGCCGACGTATGCGGGCTACGAAGACCCGAAATCGGCAGCTGACTTCCCAGACGAAGTAGACACCTATGCTAGAGCTACTGGCGCCTCGGAAGCGTACGTGATGGCTCGAATCCTGCCGTTGGCTTTACGGGATGCCGCGGGACGATGGTGGAGGCTACAATCGCTTTTCACCACATAGGCAGATTTTTAAAAGCACTTCCAAGAGGAATTTCTGCGCCCTGGGTACGAGCAGCTAGTCCATCATGAGCTCGAACTGAGAACCAAGCATCCGGATGAAAGTTTGCTGGAGTACGTCCGAACGATGCTAGAAATGCATTACCGAGCAGCACCGACTGCCCCAGAAAAAGACAAAGTCGCTCGTGTCATTTAACAGAGTCATCCCAGATTCAGGCTATTTTTTTGGGAGGCCTGCGGCTGTCCATGGTGTACAAGACGCCCTGTTAGCTTGGAGCACTTACTTGCCACCACCATTGCCTCTATCTGCTCTTGAGCCGTCACTGGCTTGGAGTGCCGCCGTTTCCAGTTCCTCATGCGATCTAACGAGCGCAGTCCTTAGAATTTTCCGTGAGGGTTTTTACATGCCGGTTGCATGCAGTGATGATTGAAGCGCCGGCCTCTTCAGGTACTGCACCGTGCTCCCGACCGGGTTGCAGAAATTAGGTGCCTTTTCTCCTCTTCTAACCGCTACCACCACCAAGCCCCGGCCTTTTTAGTGACGATATGGGGCTGACTTGTCAGTCGTGATTATGGGGGCGGCGACACCACGCGCACACCTATGGTGGATTAGCATTAACCGTTCATGAAGTACGTTCTCAATTAGGAATCCCTTCCTTTAAGGCAAATATCTCGCTCACAACGACAGTCATCGGTGTGGTAAAGCCTTCTGAACTGATATCTACATAGGAGCCACAGAGCTGACGTAACAAATAGTTCCTGTATTCAATGTTGTAATGACCTACAAACAAGTATCTTTGCACGCAGCACTAAATAACGCATATACACTAAAAATTAACAGACCCAATTAACTAACTGCTGTACTGAACTACAAGAAACCTACAGCAGCAAGTTTTACTGCATTGTAACCCGAGCATTTTACGGTATATTTTGACTACTCGCAGTTATTGCTCTCCATGTACCAAAAGCGGTCCAAGACCGGCGTTCTTGCTCTCCTGTCGTCTTTTCCCTTCTTTTACTACTTCCCCCCCCCCTCCATTTTTCTTTAATATATAAAGCACTGTGTCCCCGATATCATCAAGTAGAGGCGAATAGTGTGGAGAGCGCCGTGATTCACCCAGACCTTAATTCCGCACACGCTGAGAAACGAACTTCGCACGTGGAGGATCGGTCCCTCACTCGCTCTCCGTGCACCAGTGCCTCCGAATTGATTGCTGTATAGGCCTCTCCAACGCGAGCCGAACGTCGCAGCCAGCAGCCAACGTGGACCCCGGGGACGACAATTAACGAACGCAAGTGCGTGCCCCTCCACTCGTTAACAACGCTGCTGCGAAATAGTTTCAAACTCTTTTCCCGATGAAGCAAGTTTAGCTAATTATACGGCTATTCGTTATCGCGTGAGTGTATTTTAAAGGCCTTTCTATGATTTGTAATTGTACATCTGGTGGGAACAGGCTTGTCTGACTCGTATATCAAAGTTCCTTTCTCAAGGAACACTGAGGAGAATTAGGTCGAGCATGATTGCAATATTGCCTTGATTAAAAGAACCGAAAAAAGTTTGCCGTGTCTAGAGAGTGAAGAAAGCTTACTTGAAGACACATTGGTCTTCATGGGTTAAAATTTCCTCAAGGTTCCCTCCACACCAAAGAAAAGCGACGGAGATGAAAAGGGGTGATAAACGACGTTGACAAGGAAAAGAGGTGATTCTATAAGGCCCATCAGTCTAGGGTGACTCAAAAGTGCATTGTCTCATTTAATGGCGTTAAGTAAGACTTCCTAGCCTTTCCGATGACCACTACTGCATGTAGTTTGGATTGTAAAGCAAAGCGAACAGAAAAGCCTGAAAGCACGCCCAGGGCATTTTAGAAGCGCTTTGGTAATCAAGATTTTCTAACCATGCATAGACTGTGTCAACTCATGCATGATGATGATATATGTTTTTTTTAATTACACAATGGCCATTTGATGGCCAGAAATGGTCATTTCGTGAAAACAAAGATGCTGTCAATGGTTATGACAACTGGCTTTATGCAGGCTTGAAATTCTGCACTCTAAAGTTGGGTGTGCCAACGGACGCCACAGAAGCCACCTCGTTGTTGTACCAGCATGATGGGACGCTGCAGGTTATCCACATGACATCTGTCCATATTTAGACACAGAGGCCAGTAACATTTCGGTTGCGTCTTTAATACACTGACGCAAATTAATCACTGCAGTGCATACGCTGCGTCGACGACGTCATTTAAGCCGGCCGCCATGTCGTGCCACCAGTGCGTTGGGAAGATGCACCAGTGAAGTCATTTGCAAGTTATCAATGCTTATTTTCTGTAATAGCTCGAGTGAAAAGCCCTTCGTGCCGGCTTCATCACCTGTCTCCATCTTCACGTAATCCAAAGTTTCTCCTGGTAACTATGCACGCTCTTGTAATGAGACGCATGCAGCGAAAGCGCTGTCACTAGTTCATTTTTGTATTCACGCAAGACGGCTCTAGGACTAAAGGTTTTGGGAGGTTAAACCCCACATATCAATCTAGGACTAAAGCGGACTTCTTTTTCTTCAAAGTCGATGCATTGATCCGCCCTCGCCCCCATGTGAAAGCAACGTTGTGTCGCACTGCCTCTTGGAAAAGCTGGAACGCGGACGCTGCAAGCTTTCTGCACCTCTGCTGGTTTAGCTCTGGCTCCTCGATCGGTCCAACTTTGACCAAAAGCGACGATGACATGAAATGGCCAGTTATCACGTGATGACGATTTCTTTACTGTCTTGAAGCCGAGGGTACAGTGTACACTGTATATTAGAGTTACTGTATATGCTACCTTTAGGTATATGCTACCTGAAGGTAGCATATAACTACACTGTACCGCAAGCGCCAACGGTGAATTCACCTTTTCCATTTTCCTGTGCTTTGGTAGGGTTCTGATAGGGGCCGGTAGAACTGGCATTGCTAGAACTATGGTCCCTAGAATACATATTGTCACGGGGCCGTGACGTGGCCGAAGACAGGAAACTTCGTGTTGCGATTTAACTGTTTATTTGGGCGAACCTGTGCCCGGTAAAGGGAAATTCTAATTACAGCAGCAGTCTTGCACAGATAGCAGTCTCGGACTGATAGCGGCGAACGCAGCGTCGGCCTTCGATCAACAACTGACAAGCGGCGAAGCACGTCGGCATTTATACCCTTCCCGTCGAATGTTCTAGCGTTATCGCTGGCGGTGGCGTAGGTTCCAGAACAATCTGTACCGTTCGCACAGTGGGCGTGATCTTATCGAAATGATCTACTACAGTCCGGAACCTTCTCGAAACCTGCAGGCGCGGTTTGCGCCGAAAATCGTGTGGTGTTTCGGAACGATAACAAAAACTTAGGAAATGGAACGTGGCAATATTCCAGGGACCATACTAGAACGAAGGCATCCATGACCAAAAGGCGTTTCGCGACTTTGCCGCTAGGGAAGGGTGCATGCACAGCGGCGTAGTGGAATATGTGGAAAGATTTATTTAAAAATTTACTTGTTACCTAGCTTATGCACTCAATTTGAGGATTACAGGCGAAAAGCTTGTTCTTTTTCGTTTTTCTCTTCGCATTCGACTGTACCAAAACTCCAACTGAATACTTTCTGCACTATAAACGTCGTTTTTTCACGGCTTCCGGGATCGCTGAGAGGTGCTGCAAAGCTTTCTGCACACCATACGGTGTTGCACTGCCTCCGTGATTAGCTTATCTTCGACCAAGCGGCGATGTAACGTGACAACGTCTTCGTATGACGTCTTGTTATGCAACGTCTTACTAATGTCATGATGACGTCATATTCACCATCTCTCAATTCGTGTTGACGCCAACGGTGCACGTTTCACGTTTGGC